ATTTAGAAACATGGGGCAAGCTGCAACTTTCATTATTAGGCAGGATTGCTGCTATTAAAATGAATATTCTTCCAAAATTCCTATCTGTATTTCAGACGATCCCAATCAAAGTACACAATTTTTTTTTAAAGAACTTAACTGTAAAATTTATCTGGCAAGGGAAAAAACCTAGAATAAATTTAAAGGCAATGCAGGATGTGAAGAGCAGGGGAGGGCTGGCACTTCCAAATTGGGAGTTGTATTATAGTGCAGCCTCTTTAGTATGGTTGAAGGAATGGGTGAATTTAACCAATAAGAGAATATTATTCTTAGAAGGCCATCACTTGCAGAGGGGGTGGCATGTTTTTTTATGGGATGTAGGGAAAACTAGCCAGAAATATTTTCACAGACACCTAATCAGAGACTGATTATTAACTAATTGGAAGAAAATACGGAAAAAACACTATTTAAAAATACCAATTTGGATTTCAACAATGGAGGCGATGATTCACCCAAATAATCTGGATATCACTAAAATGATTAAATATAAGGATCTATTGGATACACAAGGAAATTTGAAATGGCGGCAAGAACTTCAAGAGCGGGGACTAAAAACTGATCAGTGGGCATATCTTTAAATCCAAAGTAGATATAAACAGGACAAGAAAGAATTTGGAATTAACAATAAACTCCAGCAATTAGATGAAATTTTATTAGGATCAGGCAAAAAAAATATAACAAAATTTTATAATTATTTATTAGAAGCAGAATTAGAAGAAGAAATTGTAAAAGGGAACATGATAGCCTGGAGTAGGAATATAGGACGTAGCATCACCATAACAGAATGGGAAAAGGTCTGGGGTAGAAATAATAAAATTACAAAATCGGTAGCATACAAAGAAAACGCCTATAAAATGTTTTATAGATGGTACCTTCCTCCTTCAAGATTAGTGAACATGCACCCCAATATGAGTCCAAATTGTTGGAAATGCAAAAAAACAAAAGAGAGAACTTTTTTCCATATGTGGTGGTCCTGTACAGAAGCTCAAAAACATTGGCAGAAAATTACAAATTGGCTGGAAGAAATGACAAGAGAACAGATCGAATTCAAACCAGAGTCCTTCCTGTTCGGGATCTTTGATAAATAAATATAAAAAAAAGTGAAATATATAATAATACACATTTTGACAGCGGCCAGATTGGCTTTTGCACAATGTTGGAAGCAGCCTCATGTTCCATCAGAGGAGATGATCATTCAAAAAATTTCAAGTTGTGCAGAAATGGACAAATTAACTTTGGCATTAAAAAATAAAGACACTTCAATATACTACAACAGCTGGAACTGCTGGTACAAATGGATAGACCAAAAATAGACTTCACACTAAAATGCAAAAGAGGATAGGACAAATCCATAGTAGTGATACACAGATATATGTAAGGATTAGGTGTGTGTATATGGCATAAAATAAGGATAAAAAAGAGGTCTTACAAACTGTTGAAGATGAGAATGTTTTTAATTGTTTTCTATTTTTTTCTTTCTGTTTTCTTCTCCCTTTCTTCTTTTTCTCTCTTTCATTTATGTATGTGTTGTTGGTTTGTTTTAATTGTAAAATCAATAAAATTTATTTTAAAAAAAGAGAGAAAGACTAGATGAGAGTCATTGGTATCTTTTAGAAATCAAGAGATCTATTCATAAATTTCAGACTATATCTGATCTACACTGGATTTAGTTTTTGTTTTGGGGACATCCTGTGCTGTAATTCACCAAGGGACATGTTGTGCTTTCATTTCAATGATTTTACTAAACTACATTTGGTGGTTAACCATGACAGCTGAAACTGTTATCTGTAACAACAGGCCCACAGATAATGTAACCCTAAATGCTGTACCTACCTCTTCCATGTGTACAAGACACAAACTGCATGTATGTTTAGCATTAGATGTTTGTTGTAAATACAGTATGTTTAGTGCGAACTGCTGCCTGAAATATTGGCCTGAAATATTAATGTATTATCAATACCTAAGCAGCAATTTACAGTCTGGATATTGCACATTACCAGAAGATATTACATTTTAGCTGAACAATTGCCTTTAAGCAGAATTCAAATAATTAAAAAGCATTTATTTCTTATTGATTTATATTGTCTAAGTGATGCTAAGCATAATTGAAATTCTTTCTTGATGGGCTTCCAGATGCCAGATTTTCCCACAATGTTTCATCATTTTTCTGGTACAGAAAACTCATCCAAATTTCCACTCTTGGAACATTTGTATACTTGTTTCTGTTATTTCATCCTTTTACCTAATTCTATTTGTATTTTATATTGTCTGGTAGCCACATTTGCTTGCTCTTAGGTGGTGATGTAAACGGAGGGTTTTATATAAAAAGTATTGACAGTACTGTCTACTCATTCAATCATAACATAAGCAGGTAAATGATCTCTCATTGCTGCTGCTGCTGATTTTGCACTTGATAACTGCACTTTTTGTATATGATAACTGAACCATCATTCCAGTCTGTTTATATTTTATTTGCATTTGACTTGGGTTTTTTTCAATCTAGATCCAAAAGAAATACATCAGTGCCAACACCTTTTGCATTTAATCAAGCACATTCCAGTCCATAAACACCAATACTGTTAAAAATGTTGATTTTAAATGGTGACACAAAACAACTTTCTTTTGCCTCTACAATAACCAAAGCACTTCCCCTTTGCAATTAATTATCTTGTTCTTATACAATTTTCCTCATATTATGTCATCTTGCAGTCATAACTACAGAGTGGCTACTATAGATGTTTATTCTATTTCAGGAGGGCTGCTTCCTCTATTTTTAAATTATCCGGACAGCATAAAATCAGTTGAAAATTTGCTGATAATCTTGTAATTGTCACTTGTTAATATTTAGCAGCCCAGATGGAAAAGAAAATTTAAGAAAAAAGCTTTTGACAGTAGAAAAAAAGCACGCGATCATCACACACCATTTTTAAATTAAAAATTGGACTTTCTTCTACCAAAGAAATATATAAAACAAAACCCATGTATGATTGGCAGCATTTCAAACTAAAAAAGATGCTGCAGTAAGATCACTGATACACAAACCTGAGTCTTGAAAAGTGATCAATAGCAGAAGCCTGATCACCCAACTTGAAACACCCATTACAGTAATTAAAGAGGATTTATGTTTTAAAAACTCTACAATTTTGGAATAACAGTTTTAATATTGTACTGTAAAACACATAGCAGGAAGAGGATGTGAAGGAAGTGAGAGTTAAGCTGAAAAAAAGACTGTCAAGTCAATCACAGAAAGAAAGACCGGCAAGAAAACCAGCAAGATGCAAATGAATGGAATTAAAAAAAAAAAAAGAAGAAGTAGAAGAAGCAGACGTTAGCTGCCAAGGCAGCCTGTAGTTTCATTGCATGTGCATCTTATTACTAAGCCCAAGAAAGTTTACAACAGTCAAGTGTGGAAGACATGAAAATAAATCTGCTTAGCAACTTATCCTTTGGTCTCTGATTAACATATCGCAGATAGGTTGTAACTTTTGCATATGCAGTGGGCTTCATTTTCATACATGTTGACAGCTTCATAATGGCTTTCTCTTCTTTTGTGGGTGGGGAAAGGATGCTGCTGCGAAGTACATCATCCCACGGGTTTCAGCTGTCAAGAGATGACAGGAAATAGGAGACCCAGGGCAAATGGGAATCCACTAAGCTTTCTCATTCTATCAACCCTCCCTCCTTGCATGCATGCGGTCACAGCCATCCTAGTAGAGTGCATCACCCCAGGTTCAACACAAAAAAACCACACACAAACAAACAGAAGCAGAGCCCCATGGGATGTTCTAACAAAAAGGTGACCCGGAATTTTAGAACATATCCCCGAAAAGATTAGACGTCATCTGCTTCAAATACTCAGGGAATCTGTCACATTTGCAAGTTACATTATTTCAGGGAAAAGTCTTCCTTTCAGGTAAAACTGTAAATTGGAGGAATGCTAGCCAAGAGCATCCTCACGTGGACAAAAGCTGCCACTGCAGTCAGAACATACAGTAGTCTTGGAGCATAGCCAGAGGGCCGCATTAGAGTTCAATCTGCAAATCCCTGGCCTGGAAGAAAAGTACAACCAATATAAACAACACTACTGTCTCCTTCCCACAAACTACAGAAAACTCTACTAAGTTTGTGGGGAGGAAACAGCAGTGTTTATGTACAAATGCAACAGAAAGCATGTAATGCACTCATTTGCTTACTCAACAGTAACACACAGAGGGCTGAATCTCATTCTTTCCCAGTTTAAAAGGCCCTTGGTTCAATGTGGATCCAGCACTTCCTTGTAGAGATACTAGTCCCATTTTCCAAATAAAATTCTAGTTGTTTCAAAAGTTCTAGACTTGGGTACTAAAGTTCCTCTGTAAAACCTGACCAGCACCACAGAAAGGACCTGTTGGGCATTGTGCATTCACACGTCTCTGCAAATGTCCAGTTCCTCCTGCACCAGCTAAAATGGTATGGAGGGCAATTCCTAGTAACAAAAAGGAAGGAATCAGGTAGAAGCTGGACAGATCTCCTTCCTGACAATATCCGCAACCACATTTGAAGTGTGCTGGTTTCTGCTGTAGCAAAAACTGCTTTGGGAAAATAGAGAAAACCCTATTTTAGAACTGGAACACTAAGGACAAATTTAAGCTGCTTCAGGTGCGTACTGGCAATTACGCAGAAACAACTTCACAAGGATAAATCACATTAAAAACAGTTACTGGGGCAGGCTTAAGCCGTGGTTGAGGGCATGTGAAGATGAGTCTGAGAGTTCCAGTACAAAATGGGAGATTAAAAATTTAATCACACTTCAATCCCCATCCCCCACCCCCATACGAATACCACTGCATCTAAATCACATCCATGACACAAACCGGTCCCAAATCAAACTGGTCCTTTTCCTCAGATTTGTCAATAAGGTAAAGAGAAGTCCCCGAAAAATGTTTGCCAACAAGTACTTTATGGGGAACAGTAGGCAGAGTCCAGGGAGATTAAGATAAACTCTTTTCAAAAAGAAAGGAAGTAGTAGAACCTACATTATAGCCGTGCAGAGAGGTGTATCAGTGCAAAATCTTTCTCAGCATTGCACCATTCCATGAAATACAAGTACTCTGCAAGGCTATGAGCCAACTTCTGGAACAAAAGGTGGCATTATATCCAGCCAAGGACAAAACTTGGTTCAAGAGATCTAGAATTCTCTTTGTGGGCCCTTCAGAGAAATAGATATTGCATATAAAAGACTGCACATTTGTCATACAAATAATGGGGCTGATTAAACATATCCAAATTTACCTTTTAAGTTCAAGTAACTTGTAAGATTCTGTAACGTACCAAACAGGTTCAATCAAATGCTCAGAACAGATTCATTTCTGTTACAGTGTCATGTTTTTCTAAACTATCAGAGAAGATTTTTTTAGTTTACTATTGGTTTACTATTTGTGGATTGGACTGAATTGACCTGTTTGGTTTTGTCTGATAGGCTTTACTCCCACTGGAATCCATATCCGCCAGAATTTTAGCCTTAAAAACCAAAACTGAAAATTACTGCCCCCAACGAGTTATAATAGCATCTTCCCAATAGCTTGTTTCGGACCTCTTAGGACAACAGCAAAATCCAACAGTATGATCCACAAAATAAGATGTAATTTGAACAAGGGAACTCAGGCTTGAGTTACCCCAACTTAATCTCTGGTTAAGCAGGAGAGCAGAGCAGACGGGGAGTAGAGTGTAGAGAATTCAAGTAGGGGGCCAAGACAGGTAGGAGTGTGAAGCTGCTCCAGGCAGCAGGATTAGGACAATGTTTCCACTAGCTTCCTCAGTGGAAACCACATGAGCCATGCTACCTCATCAATAGGGGCCTCCGGTGGTCACGCAACAAAATCCAGAGCTGCTTCCAGGCTATATGCATAACAGATGCTTCTAATTCTGCAGTTTTTGCAGTGGGTCAAAGGAGCCTCCAGAAGCCTGACATAAATACTATTTACATGACTTATGTGCCCCAGTCAGGAAGAGAAAGCTATGGAAAGGCATCAGGTAGTTACTAATACTGGTGACTCCCATCTCAACCCCCGATAGGAGCTTGTTGATGGCTTAGCAGCACTCAGTGGTTGTAGCTTGAAGACTTGGCTTCAGTCCTTCAAGAGATCTGGGAATCTGTAGGAGACAGCAAAATCTCACTTCTGGTGTCACCAATTGGCTTTCACAGCATTGATGTCACTCACTAGGTTCTGTGCCAGGCAGATACCAAATATCTGAAATACAAATTGAAGACGTGCTTGTGAAATGCTTGTTATTGTGGTGCACACATACCCAATACACGACCGGCCTTCCTAATGTTCCAGATATACAGTATTTGCAATTCTAGAATCTCCAGCCAGAAAGTTTGGGGGATGCAGTCTTAGCAGCCCCTAATAATGAAATGGTGCAGCACGAAGCTATTTATTTCACTCTCATGGTTGGAGCACTCAAATCTTATTACTACAGGGCAAGTGACAGAGAGGCCTGGTCAGCTTTGCTCTGCCAGTGAACAGCCTATCTCAAAATTATAGAAAGGCAGCCTCAACACGTGGCCTCAAGTTTCTTTTCCCTGTAACCTAACAATTACAGAAATGTAATCTACAGCACCTGTTCCCTAGTAACTATGGGTTTGACTTCAACAAGGAATTTTTCATTTGCAATCCAATTGAAATGAATGGATCAGGTACGAATTGCAATCATCTGAATGGAACAAAGATACACAAATGCAGATATCCTTTCCATTTTGTTCACTTTGAAGTTCCCTACCTTTGATTGCACAGAATCACAAATAGGCTATTTTATCATGCCTAAGATGAAGTGCACGTGCAATTAATACAACTATTAACTATCCACTGAAAAGCAGCTTTTGCAATTCTTTCCAGCTCTTTTATCTACATAGTCCTATGAGATGAACCATTTTGCAAGATTCATGATTGACAGGTATCCACATATCTTGGATCTAATCCCACTGGCATCACAAAAGTAACTCAGAAACGGAGAGGAGGCAGGAGGATTAGATATGTTTGCCATGTTAAACTGAGGGAAATGGAGATAAAAATATACTAGTATTACTGTTATTTTCATTAGTATTATGCATTCACTATTATGATCATAATTATGAGATGGAACGCAAAAACTAAGCAACTGACTTCTCCCAAAAACTGGCCCTGTACATACTTGATTACAATGGGGTATGGTAAAAAAAATAATAACCTTCTAGTAATGGAAAAAAATCACATCCACCTAGAACACGTGTGCAATAGAAGTTCATTTGGGCTAAATACTTGCTCTATCAAAGTATGTGGCAAGAGAGCAGAGTTAATCTTACATGCTCTAAAATGCTATAAATAGGATAAAACTAGTTATCAGACTTAGGCACCATACTATGTTGGTAGCATCATTTTGAGGTTGGGGAGATTGAAGGTTCTTCAAAGCAACAATGAGAAGAGTCTACTACCTAAAAACTTCCTACTTTCACTCCAAAATTGGTCCTATCCCGTTCTGTAAGATCAATGTATTTCTGATAACTTCTGGCCATTCTCCTGGTCAATGGATGAAATGGCAGCCTTGAGTCCTGGGAAAGTTGCATATCAAGGATGGATGGATGGAGGGATGGTATTTCCATGGAGGGGTTACTTGGAGAAAGAATTCTCAGTAACATGGAAGCTCATACCTGTAGAAGAGCCACACCTATAAAGGTCCCTGCCACTACAACGAGATTGTCCTGGAGCCACTTCTCAAATTGACCAGCACACCCTTTCGTGTGAATGAAGCTCTGCTGCTCCAGCTCCTGCAAAAAAAGGTACAGAAGAGCAACGGAAGGACTCTAAAAGCAGCACAAAGTGCAGTGATCACGTCTCCCCGCAGCCCAAATTCAGAAAATACAGTAGAATTTTTTGTAGCCTAATTAGAGGCTGTCCCTTGAACGTATGGCCAAATGCATGTGCTCTCTTGCAATCAGTGGCATTCTAATACTCCCACACAGACCCCTTTCAGAACCTGTGCTCTCACTCTACATTCAGACCATTCCTTTACGCTTATTCCGGTCCTGCCTTTTTTCCGGACAGACAGTCACCTCGTTCTTTCCACTAAACTTCCCCACCACACCAGCCTGACCCTCACCAGTTTAAGGCGGACATCATAGCCACATTGTGTATTGAGAACATCTTCCTGTCAAAAGAACAGACACAAAAGTCATTGAAGTCATCCTCATAAGGGAACCCAGAAAAGAGATTCACTGTTTCTCCCCTAAATATATCCAGCATTTGCTTTTCGTTCCACACGCTTCCAAATAATTTGCAACTTCTACCTTCAGCTTTAGCTCTTCTCCTCTTTCCCACCTCCACTCTGCCCTATCATGGTGAAGGAATTCCACGGAATGACAAATATATGACTGACACTAATTTTCTTATTTATTTATGTTTTAAATATGTATCCCACCTTTTCCAACAGGAGCTCAAAGCAGCATACACACTGCTACCTCCTTATCTCCAACCTGGGTTTCCATGCTCCTAGTCTAACAGCTCAGTCCCTGCGCCACATTTGTTCTCCAAATTAAAATTATCCATTTGGATAAGGCTGCATTTAATCTACGTATATTTTCCTAACAATTCACACAATTAGATTCCTATGTCAATACGAGGACCTTAAAAAAAACCTGCTCAGACATTATTTAGGTCTACAGGGGATGAGCAAAGGGAGAATCCATCTCACTTATTTCCATATTTCAGCTCCTTACCGCAGGATCCTTGAGACAGCAGGAAAAGGGCACCCCACAGCGCTCCCTGCTGGGATTGGAGTCAGTGCAGTTGAAATAAATGTTAAGGTTCCAGTCATTAGGTCCATGAGCCCCACAACACGACCACTGCGGAAGGAGACAGGGTTAGACTGGAAAGAATGCTCAGCAAACTGCAGCGCTCTGCAGTACTGAGCAAAAAGAATGAAGGAACTTTGACCAGCGTGGAAAATAAAAATAAAAACAGAAAATGGAGAAATGATTTAAGAGCGTGTAAGGTTTAATACAGGAAGCAATTTTGCAATGTTGCAGGTTCATTATCAGCCATGAGATGGCATGTTCACCTCTGGAGTGGCCTTCACACCTTTTAATTGTCTAATGATGAGTCCCTGCAGGAAACAGGAGAACTACCACACTCATTATTTGTTCTGCACTGTTAGCTCACTTGGTGAGGTTTGTCTGCAATCATGCTTTTCAAATTGCTGCTCTCCTGTACTTTCCTTATTGTTCATCCCTCTCTTTTATATAACAATAACCTGGATGCGTATGAGAAACAACATGCCTGAAATCACTCTTCTGTCTTATTTTCAAGAACCATCTGGTTCACCTGAAATAATATAGTGCGTTGCTATCAGCAAGCCCCTTCCATTATGAGTGTTTGTGACACAGTCAAGGAAATGAAAGGATGACAGGTCTGTGCAGGATTTTTAAAAATCCTTTTTAATAATTTTTCATCTTAAATTTCTTGTGCGAAATCTTATGATTACCTTTATAGCTTTTTGAAAGGAGCTCTTGAAAGCATTTTAGTACTAGTGAAAAGAATTTGGCGCCCACCCCCAAAACTCCACAGTTAAAATCATGCTGACGTATTGGCTTTTTAGAGCTATAAACATTAAATTCCATTGTATACATAGTGCAATTACATTTCTTAAAAAAATAACGTAGGTAGAAAAGGTATTTCAGTTCAAATTATAAAACTGAAACACACATATTCACATGATTTAAGAATAGTATCAGGAAAGATCGGGTACAACAGGGTCCCCAACTTCCAGGCCGTGGACCAGCACCAGGCCACGATATGCCAGAAACTGGGCCATGCAAGCAAGCAAAGCCCCATCTGCGGGATCCAGGCAGCAAGCGAAACCACACTGCCTCTGGTCCACAGAAAAATCTCTCTCCAAGGAACCAGTCCCTGGTGCTCAAAAGGTTGGGGACCACTGGGTTACAACATGCTGAAACAAAGTTGCGAAGATATATCCAATACTTCACTGGATACATAAAAATTATTATTATTAAATATCTTAATGAGGTATTTACACTGAACTGTTATCCAATTTCTGATTAATGCATTCAATCTCTTCTGGAATAGAAAAAATATGATCCATATTTGCTTTGTCCTTTTTAAGGACTGAAAAGCGACAGAAAATAAGTCAGTAGGATCCGGCCAGATGAACATTTATTCAGAATAAATAGTGTGCAATAAGCACACATATATAAAATATGTATATATGTATATACATATTAACATACATACTGAGGGATAAATTGTGGTGCATACAATCTTATCATTGCCATGTTAGCACAGTGATTTTCACTTATTTTTTAATTTATGTTTTAATTTGCACTAGAACATGTTTTTGTCATTCTCAAAAATTATAGAGATATTAATGCACTTGAAAAGAAAAGCATTTTAACACTGTTTTAAACACTGATTAAACAATAACATCTTGCCTTTCTGATCAAAATCATCTAAGCATGTTGTTTTTTATAATATTGTTGATTATATAATTAACACCAAAACACATTTTTGCTCACCTTTCTCTAGGTAAGAAAAAACTATGGAAGTAAAGTTGCTTAATGCTTAACAAAACAGACTTTTTTCTCAAATTGAGGAGTAAAAACTAATGGATGATATAAAAGATTATTTCCAACTAAATTGTCCATGTGCATATTATCCAGTGGGGACAACAGGCCTAAAACCTAAGTAGTTCTTGCCTAAGACCTACAAAAATACCCCATGAAACTACTTCAAGTTAAAAAGAAAATCTCAAAGTAGGAAAGTGACAGCAAAGTAAAAAATATATCCTAAAGTTAAGTGTATTTAAGATATCATTCTTATTTTATTATGCAGATACCTACTATCTCTTACCCCTTGTGACTTATTGAAGAATGTAGCTTCAGGGAATATATCTATAACACTAAGCGTCTGGATTATTACCACAACAAGGATCTATGAAAATAATTGTTCCTGCGCCTACAAGGGATTTAATGCAGCCCTGGAATTCTTTCTTCTCATCTACATAACTATGTGGTACCCATTATTGTAGCATGTTTAAAATAAGGAACATAATCCAGAAGAATTTATAATCTACTGCAATACCTTGTGTAGTTTAGAGCAGAAGAAACACATCAAAAAATGGTCTTAAGAGCAAGTAACAACAGTCTCCTGCATTTCTATATTGAAACTCTGCACAATAATTTATACAAATTATATCTCCTATATCTACGCATGAGTGAGAAGTCAAAGCTGAATGTCTGGGGGAATATTCCTTCAAAGGATAGAGACCAAACATATGTATATGTGTATGTACACATAACAGGAAGAGATTTTTAGGGGTGACTTTGTAAACCCAGGGTAAGTGACAACAAATATTTTGGGGGGACTGGTAATATTTCAAAAGCTGTCATGTTACAACCAGGATTCTTCCAAAGAAGCCTGAACATACACAAACATTACAAACGGACATATTGCTATAGGTAATTTACATAACTCACATATTCCTGAGCAAAGTCTATAAGGTTCTGGAGGTCTATGTCATCGCGATATGCCTTGACATTATTGTTAATAAAGAAGTTGAGCTGATCCTTGATCCAGTCCTTGAAAATGAAGGCCAGGACACCAGCTGTCAGCTCCAGGAAAAAGATGAGCCCCAGGAACACAGAGAACTGGTGCCAAAAGAGAGGTACATCATTAGTGTGCAAAACCAAAAGATCTCCCATCAGCATGGGAATATAATATCCTGCTTCAGGGTAAGGTTCATTCTCACATTGACTAAATAAGCACAAGTCGCAGGAAAAGAAGCTTTGCTTAAAATTTTGTCAGAGGATAGCTGATGCACTGAAGGACAAAATAAAACAAATGTTATATTGCTAGTTAATTTCTACGTTAATAAGCTGTTTTTTAAAGTTCAGTTCATATGGCTATATGGCTTCAAAGCCCTATATTGTTTTCCTGCCAAGGCAATAGAAGGAAATTGAGTTAATACTTTATTTTTCTTCATATCTCCCAGGAAAAATATAATATCCACCAATAATGCTGGTGTATTATTTTCCTAATGCTATCATTTCAACTTGCATTAAGCCCCTTGTTCCAGCTTGTATATACTATTCATTTCTCAAATATAAATGTAACTTTCCTGTATAATATACCAATTCAAAGCATTATGTCTTGTTTTCCTTCCAGTGCCAAAATAAAACTCAATTTCTATTATGCTTCTCATACAACAAAGCCTACATAAAATTTTCTGCGTCCTTGTCTAGTTTCCAAATAATGTCAAAATAATGCTACACTAAGAATTACCATATTATGTTTTGTAAGTGCTCCTTCATAATCCTGTAATATATATAGGCAGTTCTCAACTTACAAGAGTTCATTTAGTGACCGTTTGAAGTTACAATAGTACTGAAAAAAGTAACTTATGACCATCTTTCACACTTATGGCCATTGCAGCACCCCCATAGTCATGTGATCAAAATTCAGATGTTTGATAAATGACTCATATTTATGACGGTTGCAATATCTCAGGGTCATGGGATCACCTTTTGCAATCTTCTGACAAGCAACGTCAATGGGGAAGCCAGATTCACTTAGCAACCAGATTACTAATTTAAGATTACTGCAGTAATCTTCACTAACAACTGGCAAGAAAAGATGTAAAATGAGCCAAAATTCAATTAACAACTGTCTCGCTTAACAAGAGAAATTTTGGACTCAGTTGTGGTTGTAAGTTGAGAACCTGTACTAATATGTCTATTTTCTCTTGAAAATGAAGTGGACTAAGAGTAAGAAAAAGAACTGCTTGCCAATGTCACCCTGGGAGTTCTTGTCATGTCATGATTTGATCCACACAAGCCCAGCTATGCCAATAAGAAAAAAAAAACAAGAAGAGAAAAAGACATACAAATTTGAGGAGCAACGTATTCTCCCTCAGTGCCCCAATACAGCCAGTAAAACCCAGCACGAACATCACCCCTCCAACCACGAGGAAAAGCCAGACTGGGTCAAAGCCACCAAGGTCTGTGATGGATGACAGATTGGAAAGTACACCCTGGATAGAGAAAGACACAGAGCTGAAGTTGACACCACAGCCAAATTCCCTTCAGCAAAATATCAGTTTTCCTACATATGGATGAAAAAAACAACAACCCAATGGCATAGAATTTCCACTGTTGAGGTTATGTACACAATAGTTACTATACCAATTGTCTAATGATGTGTGAAAGGTAAACTATATATTTATACCATCATTCCCCAACTTGTTACCCTTCAAATATATGCAGATTCCTGACTGGAAATTCTGAGAATAATTTCCGGCTCTACAGATTGGCTGGAGAAGGAAGTGGTACATTAATCACAAAGCCAGAACAGGAGTTAACTGAGCAAACCTTAGCTTAGACTAACACTGATGATGTTACCTAGTCTGGGTAATGAAACATCTGCAAGAAAACACGCAAGCTCAAGAGGGCACCAAGGAACCCTCAAACCTTAGCTTACTCAGAAAAAAACTGCAGTTTTTAAACACACACATGTATTCTCCTATATTTATTATTTACATTATAAATGATTTGTTTAAAAATGTTGTATGTATACAACGTTAAAGATGTTATATGTATACAAAGTGATGAGAAAGAAAACGTGAACAGGTGTGGAAAGGAAAATAAGCTGTTTTTCATTATGTACATAGCTAAAATGCAGGCCGCTTTTAAGCAGCCAGAATTCTAGCAGGCAAAAACATCCTATTCTTTATTGCTGCAGTGGTTATTGACAGCTTTCCAATTTTAATTTAAACAGTTAGTTTTGTTCTATAAAACTGCATGGTTTTGGCTCCCGGATACCCTCAGGGTCCAAGTGTTCCATTCTCTGCATCAGATGACAAGGACACAAAGCCAAAGATAGCAGTACACCTGTGCTACACCTAGCATCCTTTTCGGTGACACTTTGAAAGGTGGAAATTGGGTGTTTGGTGATTGATTTTGGGAACTTATAATGATTGGGCACCTATTTGGGGGGGGGGGCAGCATATAGTTATTTTTCTATTTTATTTTAATAAGATTTTTAAAAATTATGTAATCCACCTGGAGTACTATGAGGGGAGCAATATATACTTTTCTGTAAGTAAATAAATAAACAAACTAAAATGTCCTTCTCATCTGGGCTCAGTGCCAGTTTCCAAATGAAAACTCTCGGCTGCTGTTTGTCATGAAAACAACATCAAGCAAAACTACTGGTGCCAAATGAGAAGGTGAGCCATTCTCAATAGGAAATCATCTCAGGGACCACAATCTACAGCTGCTTTTTCACAAAATAAAAATGGTCAGCAATGGGAGAATATATATAAATGTTATTTTAGATCTGGTTTCAGAAAATCAAAGCATGCTGGTAGTATGCGAAACGACTGGAGACAAAGATATAACATGATGAGGCTCACCAGCTATTGCTCAGCACATGGTCTCAAAGACCTGATTGAGCACAGTGCATTGCGTTCTAGGCTCATACTTAACTATAAAAACGACTGAACGAATGGAGGGTGGGAAAATAAAATTGGCAGTGGAATGAAATGTCCATGTACAGAAATAGTAAACCTCTGAAAAACAAGTATACAGAAAACAAATGAAAACTTCTTATAAAAGAATTTGCTTCTTAGCTCCTCATGGGCACTTAGCTGGCTAATTGTAAATAATGTTGGACCAGAAGGACTCATTATTACTCATTTTTAGCCAAGTGCCCAAGTTGCATGCACACCCAAAGCCTTCGAGTAAAATTTTTTAAAAAAATGGTTAGCAAATTTCAATTCCTACATATAACTGAACTACTGAATTAATTATGCATATTTTTATTGAATTTAAATAAAACTTAACATTTTCCTGGAGCTACTCACTATTTTCTGGAGACTGGTCCACAGAATTCTACTATAAAATCAAATGAATAATTTGTCCAATTCACATAATCCAGGTATGGTTCATATACTCATACCAGAACAATTTATTACCTGGATACCAAGATGGGATCAGATAAAGCAATCAGAAAAACATTCCCCTTCCTGGCCATACTTACCTTTTCTGCCCAAGCCCACAAGCCAATGGCTAGGAAAGCTGCCCCCAACAACTGCAAAAGAGAAAAGGCCACAATCATGCATAGGATAACAATAGGGAGCAATTTAGCTCTATACAAAGTATGTAGAAAGACTGCAGAGGCAGGGGGAGGGGTAATTCTTGACTTATAACTATTCCTTTATAACTGTTCAAGGTTACAGCAGCACTGAGAAAAGTGTCTCATGACTGTTTCTCACATTTACGATGTAGTATTTACATGGTCACATGATCAAAATCTTGATGCTTGGCAACTGACTCGTTTTATGACGTTTGCAATGTCCCAGGGTCATACGATCTCCTGTTGTGGTTAGCCGGCAGTAGGTGCGGACAGCTGAAGAGAGGGAGGACTCAGATGAAGGGCCAGAACCATTAGAGAGTGGACTGCTGCCTTCAGAGTTTGTGGGGGCTGGCAGCAGTGATGAGGAGGTTCCTGAGGAGCCTGTGCCAAGTGCGTGTGCACGCAGGATTGTTCACAGGAAAGAGCAGCTACAACAGCACGGGCGACTTGGGAGTAAGGCTGCAAGGTAATGACGACTCCTTCAAGAAGATAAAAGCCAGCTGTGAAACAAACGTACTTTGCAGAAGGCAAAGACGTTTTGAAACTCCAGCCTCGTGGATGTTCCAGTATCCTGAGTTTGAAGATTCTTGTATTGCAAATTATTTCTTGTCTGTTATCTTTTGTCTCGCACAGTTTGGCAAGGCTTGTGCTTATCACAGCTAATTGTTTTGCAAAAGCATTACAAGGTTTCTGTTCCTTTTGGATTGTATTTGATTTGTTGGAAAAGGGCCTGGGTCAGAACATCACCTTTACAAGCAAAGCCAATGGGGAATCCAGATTCACTTTACAACCATGTTACTAACAACTGCAGTGATTCACTTAACTGTGGCAGGAAAGATTGTAAAATGGGACAAAACTCACTTAACAACTGTCTCGCTTAGCAAAGAGATTTTGCCTGCCTCCATACAGTCAATTCCTGAGTATAATTCTTAACATTCTCCAATCAAGCAAAGCCAACTTTATGGTTGTATATATAGGCTAGAAGATCAAACTAAATCCTTGTCATTTGCCAACCCCATTAATATTAGCAGGATACCCATCACTTGGATATGGAGTCTAACTTAAGAGCTTTGGAAAACAGAAGGCTGGAGCAGTTGCAAGCTTAGCACTGTGTACAGACAATGGCTATACTGTTCCCACGGTAAGAATGGAACATTTCTAAAACAGCAACAGCATTGATCAGAGTCCTTCCCCTGCCCACAGGGTAAAACCCTGCCCCTCTTTCAATGTCAATTGCTATTTGTTTGCCATTGCCTACGGGGCTTTGTGAAGGTTATCTCAATAGGTGGAATGTGAAGAATTTAGAAATTGGCCTTATGACAGTATTTGTGATGTTGTATAAGGCCAATCTACACCAGGAGACAAGGAAACAATACAATGTGCAGAATATTATTAAAAATGGGGCCAATGTAGAGATAATTATATTGGCTTAAGAAATCATTGTTAATAATAAGCAGCCTCGGTGATTCTCTCGTGGATAGCTTAGACCACAATCTCCCTGAACATGAAAATGGGAAAACTATGTTTTATTTCATCTTATTAACTCTGGATACAAAATCAGAATCCTATTTCAGTTCACTTCATGTTCACCTTTGTAAAATAAGATTAAAATATAAGTCTAATATCAGAAGAATGCCAAACCTCAAATCTTGGCTTTTCAGTTATTTGATTTGATATGGAAAAGTAATAAAAGGCATGAATAAAAAATCTAATAAACAAATAAGCAAACATTCTTAGGTGATTTTCTCACATGAAACTTCTACGCCAAAAATTTCATTCCAATTCAATAATGCCAGTTAACACTTGCCAATTCACACAAATATAATCTATACTGTGCATAACTAAAAATATAAAATTCACTCAGTTACTTTTTCTTGTAAGAAACATAAAGTCCCAGGCTACAGTCAAGAAAAAGCTGGAAATGTTATTTGGGGTGTTCTTATTGGCCATCAATTTTAGAAAATCTGTCTGACTTTAAACATTTTTCTTTTCCTTATGCCATAACATCATGTGGCAACCTAAAATTAAGGAGAAATTTCTTGATAGTGAGAACATCATTGGAATGGTTTGCCTCCAGAAGCTGCCAGTGTTCCATCACTGGAGGTTTTTAAGAAAAGAATGGACAGTCATTTTATCTGGAATGGTAAAGGATCTCCTGCTTAAGCAAGGGGTTGGTTTAGAGGACCTCCAAGGTCTCTTCCAATTCTATTATTCTGCATTCTGCATCTAAACAATAGTTCCTGCCAACTCATAGCCAGTGTGAAAATCCATTTGTTAACATTTCCTATCTTTGCATCCTCCAATACTGATTAGAAGTTCTGGAAACTGCTCTCCCTACATATCTGGAATACTCCACTTGGCAATGATTCTCTCAAATGGATCTTGGAGAAGCTGAACTGACATTTCTCTCAATATTAATTTCTCGTTTTCTGGTGAGTGTTCAGTATCAGAATTTAATTTTTATTTAGCAAACATTGTTTTAACATCTTTTCATTCCAACTTGCTCCAATCATGTCCTTGATGTATACGAAGTATTGATATTTATGTCTTTGTGATTTATTTTTCTCCTGTGGGTTTTTTCCATCAACCTGTAAGTAATTACAATAGCAGTGTTCAAACTGGGCACAGTTCTTCTTTAAGAGTGGGAGGAAGCAAGAAAAAGAGAGGAAAGTAGGTGTACGTTGTACGAAACCAGTAAATCTTCTAAAGGAAAGATAAATATTCTGCATAATAAATAACGAGCTAAATCATAGGATTTCCTTTCTAAAACAGAATACAGAAAAAAAGCAACCATGACCCATTTTATCTGCTCTGCTAGATCCTCTGTTGATCAGAAAATTACCAGGTATGTTTCACCCTGCATGTCAACAGATTGAGTTTAGTCCTAAAACTTGCACAGTTTTGGCCAAGATAGTCTTCCCTGCTGGAACTCTCCATACCACCAAATAAAGTTATTCTAAAGTTGTTCAATTGTGGAAAAAAAATCTGTAATTTGTTTTTTACACAAGCAATAAAGTTAACACTGTTTTATCTTGATAATGAGGATTTTGATCTAACAGTTTTAATTTCTATTCCCCAGGTACTGTTGACAACTTGCTAGTTTATGAGTGTTTATCTTTTGCTGATTTTGTTATTTAATCTGCATGGTGAAACATTTATAAGAAGTAAGATAATTCATTACTAATTTGTAGTACTACTTTTTTACTATGCAAAATAAATATCTTATATATAAGTTAAATATTTATAAGTATATACTGTAAAATAAACAGAAGATAGAGGAGCATACTGTATACTGGATAAGATGTGCATGGCTTAGTGTCTATTAAATAGGAGATATGATATGGGAATGTCTCAAATTAATCTGTTTCCTAGATGAATATAGGCATCCACTTCAAGATGAGATAATTGTGATTCAAACAGGGCCAGCACAATAAGGAAAAATCAAAACTACTACAATCAACTGCTAACTGATCTCAAGCTTTCTTTAACTGTAACACAATTATATCATAATTGTCCTTGAGGGACAAAACTAAGCATGCAATGAAAGTCACGATTAGGCAATCCGCTATACAAATAGACAAGTGAAAAAGAAAACAGTACCAACAGTAATAGGTGCTATCCTAAAACAACTGGAGCACCGCTTGAACACCTTCGGCATTGACAAATTCAATTCAGTCAATTGCAAAAGGCAGCTTTACTCAGAACAGCTTAAATCCTGTGACATTTCCTTTAGTCCCATCAAACATCAACATCTGCTATCCCAGGTTCTCGAGAAGGACCCAATAAACGAATGACAATGCCTAATCCAGTTTTTACATCTTACTAACTATGCAATGAACCATAATAATTTATGATACTATTATTTAATTAAATTATTAATCTATTGAATTTATTAGACCTGAACATCCTAATTTTATTTAAAAAAAAACCACTCTGCTTGAAACTGCCTTTGCAGTAGGAATCCCCATCCCTGGGGCCATGGACTGGTCCTGGTCCATGGCCTTTCAGGAAGCAGGTCATATAGCTAGAAGTGAGTGATGGGCAAGTGAGCATCTGTATTTGCAGACGCCTCAGTTCCACCTTAGATCATCAGGCATTAGATTCTCAAAGATCATCAAACTTAGATCATCAAACTCCTACTAGAATAGAATAGAATAGAATAGAATAGAATAGAATAGAATAGAATAGAATAGAACTCTTTATCAGCCAAGCGTGGTTGGACACACAAGGAATTTGTCTTGGTGCAAATTCTCTCAGTGTACATAAAAGAAAAGATACATTCATCAAGAATCATAAGGTACAACACTTAATGATAGTCATAGAGTAAACTCTGTATGCAAGTGATCTAGTTGTGCACTCTTCCTCCCCTCCACGAAATTGTTCTACGAAACCTGAAAATTGTTCCACGAAACCAGTCCCTGGTGCCACAAAGGCTGGGGACCACTGTTATACACTGTTAAATGTTAAATGTTAAATAGATCCTTGATTAGGGCTTGAATTATTAAATTTCCACCACTTTGACTATGAATGTAACTGCAGAATACCCAAACATTTATTATTATATAATAGTAGTTCATTAGCTCTAATAATAATTTATTAAATGTTTATGCAGCTGGGATCCCAGCTACATCCAACAACCTATAAAGGATGGGTTGGGAGTGACACAATGTGCTAAGTCATGGCTTGTTTAACTACAGTTTGTTGAACAAGTCATGCTGTATCATGCTAGCCACAATCCTTATTTACAAAACACAGTGAAAGAGTTCAGACAATGGGTGACAACCATCACACACCTTAACACCAGGTGTGAACCCAAATTAAGATACATGCAGCACTGGGATTTACAACAGAAATTATGTAAAATACGTGCAAGAAAGAATGAGGTGGGGCAGCTGTACTGTTTTCGCAGTATGAATTTCCTCAAAACAAAGGGATTAAGGAATTTCGGAGTGCAAGCCTACTAACGGAGCGGGCTTTTCATGATAAGATCTAAAGTATGCTGGCGCTAAATCGAAGCCGACACACTAAAATATAGTCATAACTTTTTGCCCCAGAGGAGAGTGAGAGGAGAAAACGCTGCTGTGTCAGAAAGAGACAGGCAAAGGGTTACATATCTGATTTTAGGAAAACCTTTCCTGCTTCTGCTGGAAAATGCCGAGAAACCGAAGCAGGAACAAGCGCTAGACTCGGAGCAAGACAGCGGCCGGTCTTCAAGTACCGACCGGGCGCCGCGAGAGGCTTTGGTGGGAACCAAGGACGTCCTTGCTGAAAAACTTTCGAGCGCCGAATCCGTCACGCTCAACGCGGCGCGGGACCATCCGGACGCGGCGAGCACCCGCCTGGCGCGACGAGCCTTTGCAAAGGATTCCGCAACTAGGCGAAAGGGAGCTTCCCCTCCTCTCTTCCCAGGAAACCAGCGACCGACCGCCGCCGCCCCCCGCCCCCCAGGCCCCGGACTTCGCTGCAAACGCCACGGAGGTGGGAACAGCCACAGCCCGGTCGCTCCATCCGTCCTGGCCTCCTCCCCTCCCTCCGCCCAGGTAGAAGCGGTGCAGGCGCCCATCCGACCGACCGCTCGCTTCCGCGGGACGCGACTCGCTCGCTTGCTCGCGCTCACCCACCCAGAAGAGCACATTGGAGGCGAAGAGCAGGTATTTGGCGCAGCAGCTGACCTGAGGACCCTGGAAGTGCTGGGCTTTCCCTGGCATGGCGAGCGCGGGGCCTGAGCTCACAGCCCCATGCTTCCCCTCAGCCGAGGCCCAGCGCCGCCGCGGGACCGTCTCGTCTAGCCCGCCCCCTGGCGGAATTGAGGGAGAGCTGCTGCAGCGGCACGCGCGTGCACGGTTCCTCGGTCTCTCTTGTCTGTCTGTCTGTCTGTCTATCCGGACTTCGGCGGAGCCTGTGGTTCCTCCGCGCTCTTTCTCACGCCGCTGCTCTCCGCTGGGTTCTCGGAAACCGTGTACCGTACGGGCCCTCGGGAGCACAGGAGCCTCTCTAACTGATCTCGCCTGGCCAAAGGTCTGCTGAGGCCCGAAATAGAAGCACTTTCTTCCGAGACATAATGCAAACCTAAAGAAATTACGTTTATTTGCAATAAATGCTCCCTTCTTCCTCGTCTTAGTTATAACTTGTATTTTATTGCAGTTTTATACATACATGCCTGTATATGTATATATATTGGCCTTGTGGCGAGAAGGGTGACACATTTAATTATTTAAATAAATGCAACACATCTTTAAAAGTTAGGGTCGTCCCCGTCCCCCCCAAAGGATTGGGATGTAGGGGAAGGTATACCTATTGCACAATGCTTTAGTTAGACTACAGTATGCTTTTCTGCTTCCCACCATCATATGTTGCCCTCTCAGAAAAAGTAGCCCCTTTTAGTGACAAAAAATTCCAGTCAACCTTCTGTTGTCCCAGAGATCTCTCCCACCTGGGGAGCTCTGTGCAAAAATTCACACTATATACACAGAAAGCTGCACCCCTTTAGACAAATACTAAAGGGAAAATGGCCACAAGCTTCTGTTGTGAGAGTGGAGAGCAGAATAGAGCAAACATTTCATGACATCTAAGACCAACTGCTGAAGATGTGTCGTATGATCTCCCTTTAAAAAAAATCCAGAGAACTTTACATTAATAAACAGGAATTAATATTAGTTTAGGTATTGGAGGGGGGCCTCCAATTTCAGTAGATACTGAAACCACTCGAGCCATGGAGGCTTACTGAGTGACTTAGGGCAAACATTTTCTTGGCCTATCATAAGAGTCGTGGGGTAATAATAGAAGTGATGTTACTGTTTTAATCTCCTGGAAAAAAAGACATTCAATAAATCTTAGAAAAATAATCAAGTAGTCAAAACATACAACCACAATTGGGACCAGAATTTGGTGATCAATCAAATTAATAAATGAATCATCATAGGCTGGACCTGGTTTTATGACCCTTTTTAGTGAGGTCGTTACGCAAATCACACTGTCACTAAGTTAATCCAATTAAGCTTCCCCAGTTGACTTTGGTTGTGGGAGCTGGCTGGGAAGATTGCAAATCAGATCACATCAGCACAAGATACTGCAACCGTCATAAGTGCAAGCCAATTGCCACATGCCCAAACTACAGTAATGCAACCACAAATGTGATGTCATAACTTAGAGGACAGGTCCCAAGTCACTTTTTTCGAGGTTTCCAAGGTAACATCAGATTTGCCATACTATGTCCAGATCTGGTCACCATAGTACGAAAAAGATGTTGGGTCTCTAGAAAGAGTGCAAAGAAGAGGAAAGAAAATCATTAAGAGTCTGGAGGCTAAAACTTATGATGGATGGTTGCAGGGTCTGGGTATGTCTAACAAAGAGAAAGACTAGGGGTAACATGATAGTAGTCTTCCAATATTTGAAGGGCTGTCATAAAGAAGAGGGGGTCAATCTATTCTCCAAAGCACCTGAATCAAGACACAAAGTAACAGATGGAAACGTATCAAAGGGAGAACCAACCTAGGATAAATATTCTGACAATTGGTGGTTTGCCTTCCAAAGTTGTGGGTGTTCCATCACTGGAAGTTTTTAAGAGATTGGACAGCCATTTCTCTGGAATGATATAGCTCACCTGGTTGGGCAGGAGTTGGACTAGAAGACCTCCAAGGTCCCTTCCAACTCTATCTTTTGTGTGTGTTCCATAATCACATGAACATCATTGCCTTTGAATAAGAAAGTGGGGAGAAATGTTCAAAGAAAGGATAAAACATAATTCAAGTAGCCTCCCTAAGATGATTAATGATGGACTATTACTACATTATATTGAAACACAATACTACTTCACATCTTTCTTATCATAGTAACATTAGCTACTTCCTGTCTTCCACAAAATGGTTCCCCCCATCCTTACTATATTCTTCCTGTCAGTTTAACTATCCAATTCCTAAGTGACTTTTCCTCCTGAGAGCTATTTTAGTAGACAAATCATTTAAGACCCTATTTTTCCACTTCTTTGCCACTTATCATTTATTAATAATTCACTTTTCCTCTTTCTTCCTCTATTAAGTTAGCACAAGTGTTATTTAATATGAAACAGGAATGTACTCATTTAAAAAAGCTTCCCACCTACATATCTTATCTGAGTAATAGTGTTATCCATTAGCAACCGATATAAACGTTATGTACCAAATTCTGAGCATAGGGATTAAAGCTGCAGTGAGCGTTCTCCACAGAGAATGGTTTTTTTTTTATAATTAACCCCTATTTAACCTAATCCAATCAGGCAGTTCCCACATCAATATTTTAAGCATTTTTTTTTTAAATGAAAGATGTACAATCATTGATGTTCTTGTTAATCATTAAAATCCATTATCCAAGTTATTTAACTCTGTATGAGCCAGGGCCCAAAAGATCTGAGGGGAAAATCCCATTGGTTATAAGCTATAAATGCTCTGGTTTTCATTTGCGTTAGTAAAAGAATAACAAAGAATGGGCCTTTTATCTGGAGAGAGTGGTTGGTATCAATTTTAGCTGCTTCTGAAGCATTTGGAACTTGTATTGAGTCTTGAAAGTTACTTTGACTCCAAATATGAAATGGGTAGCACATATAAGATTAAATTAGATTCCACACCAAAGGATAGTAACAGTGCTGTTGATGGCTGATCTAGAAAAGATAAAAGTAGATGTTGATTTCGGTCTGTTCTTCATAACTTAGTGAGAATATATAAGGTCTGGAATGCATCAATTATCAGTCCCATCCCTACAGATGTACATTTATATGCACATGTGTACATGTGTACATCCTATAGAATTGTTTCGCTGCAGGTAGCCATATTTGTGTAGGCAATGCCAGGGCTAGTTACTACAGGCAAACATCCTGTTGCTTGCATTATTCATAGCAGTTAATGAATAGCAGTGTTGAATTGCCCAGCATAAACCTGGTGTCATCTCAATTGCAGAGGCTAATCGTAGAAAGTAAAGTCACTGCCCTTCGAGTCAGCTGCATAACATTCTTCACAGCTACACAAGCTGTTTCAGGGTAGAGTGCCCCTTTCAGTGCAATGGCGCTTGCACCCAGCTCATTCAGTATCTGACAGGAAGAGTTTAAACACTGGTGGCTGAAGTTAACAAGACCAGAGTATGCTTATGTGCTACCCAAACTCCGTACTTAAGAACTGGTTCTGTAAGGCTGAGTTCCTAAGCCCAGTATATAGATCTTGAATAAGAAAAAAATTGCATGATTGAACCACTTTTTCACAAAATGCACCTCTTTTGGAAATAGCAAAACATTACATCTTTTTACTGAAAATAAAGTATTTTTTTTCTATGTAGTATCTCACCTTGAGGCCATGTAAAATTGGAAGGAAGTCTATTTTAGGGAACAGATTAGAAGCAAAGAGGCAAGTTCTGTTTCTCGGCAAACTATTCTGCTACCTTGGTACCAAGTAGTTCTCACAATCCTTTTGACCACATTGTCTAAGACTAAGTCTTTTCTGATCACAGAACCAGATACACGAAGCACATTCTGCTTTAAGTGACGCTCTTTTAGTTTAATGGCTTAAACGTGACTTAAAATTGAGGGTAACAGGAACGATTTTGCTCCCAGTACAAATACTTTCCATTCAACTCCAGTCCAGTCAAGAATTCAAAATGCTTGGTTACAACATTTTAATGGGAAGAGCAGAGACATACTAAATCTTCATGTAGCTCATCTTTAGCCATCAAGCCCAGTGAGTTCACACGATAAATCTGCTCTTCATAAGGGACCCACTCTTGGTAGCTGTGTCTGCATGAGCCTGATAACCAATTACCACTTTTGAAGAGAGGCCCAGGTGTTCCTTATACACACGCCTGAAAGCAAGAACAAAGCAATTTTGTGTGAGCGCCATTAAAGACATCAATCCCCATTGGTTTTTACTTCACACATTTCTTATGATTCCTTTTAAAGAAATCCCATTTAAGAAATCTAGAGCCATTTACAATAAAAGAATTTCAATAAAAAAAGGAAAAAACCAATAAAAACATACACTAATACGTTTTGTAAAATAGAAAATACAAAGTGAAATCCATAAGATACATTAAAATGTGAAGAAAAAGTAAAAGCAACAAGTTGCCAATCATGACGACACTCCAACATATCATATTGCTGTGTTTGTTTGCTTGCTTTTTTAATCTCAGCTGATTATGTTTGTTTTTTTAGTTGTGTGATTTATGATTTTTTTTAAAAAAACATTAGCTGCCCAGAGTTATATATTTGAGCCATATAAATTGAGAGAAAGAAAGAGTGAGGGTGTGCCTGGGAAAATTAATCTCCCTTTCCTAGGTGCCCAAAGGGCAGGAAACCTGGCATCAGGCTTTCTAAAGACCATGGAACCTGCCACTGGAAAGGCCAACTCTCTCACCATACCTCAGTCTGGGAGGGCCCCGCCTGAAGGTGACACTCACCCAATATGAATTACTCCATCCCGGTTCTCTGCCTCCCGGGTCCAAATGGCAATTTTGTCTCCTTTGGCACGAATATTGATGACTGCCCCACAGACATCATCACTGTAGTCGCAGAACATCTCTCCAATCAGGCACAGCAACTACAAAAGGGGACAGCCAGAAAATCCAAATGAAATATACAGGGAACCAGATGTCACAGCATTTGTCTGATGTACCAGGGTTTTTTTCTGCCCCAAAGAGTTTAATATTGATATGGGGGAAAGACTAGAATCTTGAGAGATAAATTAAGGACTAATCTTTTCTACACACTGGGAACCTAATAGGTGAAAAATACTTAAATCAAAAATGTGTCTGCGTTCTTGGGCTGC